CTGATTTCAATGTGCTGTTGGATGTTGTCCGCCATTGCTTCTGTGGTTAACGTCACGTTGTAATCCAACTGCAGTTGAGTTGGACGGCAATTGTAGTTCAAGATGTGCGTTCAATGACGTATACTATCAAACAGACAAATGGACCAATCAGAGGTTAGCGCTGATTTCCAGCTGACGGCGTCCTAGAAACCAGGCCTTTAATGGCTCATGGGGATGACCTCAAATATGACAATTAATAAATGCAGACGATATTGTACGTTAAGAATCCAGAAGAAACGCACTTTCTCTGAATAAACATACCTTTTTTTCAACGGATTCGGAATTCTGACCCCCATGATATAGGGGGTAACAGCAGTCTGGGATAAAGGGTTCCAATAGTTTGATCAGGAGAGCGCTCCAAAAATTGGATCCCTTAATGTTAATTTTACTTTTTGCGTATTTCTCCACATCTCGAGAAATTTAAAAGCGAATTGGAAATCTTTTATTAGAAGATTCATTTATCTAAAGATACTTCTATGCAAAAAATCACTTTTAATAAATATTCATTATTTAATTTAGTATTTGTCAAAAAAAATTGTAAGGTAATAATTTTTGCACCGTTTTAAAGAACGCAATTTTACATGGCAAAATACAAAATTTGAATGAAATTGGTCAAGCAGTTCCTGAGAAATCAAAGTTTTAAAACACGACTTTTTTGAAACTCGATTTCTCAGGAACTCTCCGACCGATTTCACTGAAATTTCGTAATACTAAAAAAATTAGAAATATCTGACTTTTCTTGAAATTCAATTTCTCAGAGACTTTTCAACAGTTTTTGCCATGCAAATTTTGTATTTTGTCATGTAAAATTATATTCTTTAAAATGATGCAAAAATTTGTATATTTAACAATTCAGAATTTTTTCGACCACTAATAAACAAAATAATTAGATATAATAAATATTTACTAAAAGTTATTTTTTTTGCATGGAATTCTCTTTGGATAAATGATTTTTATATTCGAAATATTTTCAATTCACTTAAAAAGTTCTGGAGACATGACAGCAAAAGGTAACATTTAGGGGTTCAAACTTTGGAGCGGTCTCCTGACCACACTATTTGAATCATATATTTCCCAGATTGCGGTATTTTGGATGTTAGAAATACAAATCAGTCGAAATAAGGTATGTTTATTCAACGTTTCTGAGTTTGATTTCGTAACTTACAATATCGTCTGTACGTATTAATTAGCATATATCTGAGGTCACCGACTCGAGCTATTAAGATTAAATCCTAGAGCGTGAATATCCCATCATTAGCATCAAAAATAATTCTGGGTTATATGATACGCTATTTTTTTGTTGAGCACTGTGCACATGTAGATTTAGAACACTGCATGGTATTGGGCATGAGATAAATGCAGCATCAGGCAATGCAATTAAAAAGAAAGCTATTTTATACTGGGCAGACAAAGACACAATAACGACGAACTGAATCGTTGATAGTTTCATATAAAGCAATGGCTTCCGCTCTAACCTATGAGAAATTTCCATTTTTTTAAATCGGCTTCTCAATTTGTTTACATCAATTGTACTCATTTAGCTATTCTTTAGCATTTCTTAGTTAAAGAAGCGTCATTCTTTTTTTCGTGCCGCTTTCGATTTTGATAGGCTGTCGCCGATCACATGGGTAAACAGTCGCCATTTTGTTGAATAGTTTGAACGATAAAGTATCTTTGTTCTATTATTTCTATTTTCGCTTTTCTTTTTACTTAGTTTAAAACTTCCGAATTAGTAATGACCGGGTTTTTCACACGTGGGTGTTCTAATAAGTCAAAATCAGGCCTTAAATTATATTGCTTACACGTTGGAGATCGCAATGAAGAACGATGGAAAGTATGGCTGCACAGAATTAGCAACTACGATAAATGTTATATTAAGAAAATGCTAAAAAAAAAGAACTGTCGCGTTAGACTTAAAATTGCTCCTTATTTTATTTGCTTGTGTGGAATTTGTCCTTTCTAGTTTCAAAGAAATGTCTATACTGAAAATGTTTGAATTTTATTGAATTATTTTAATTAATGGAAAAATTATGTGTACTTTTCAATGAACTATAAAATTATGGCAAGTATTTTCCCTTTTAAAGATAGGTTATTAACATTATTACTCATTAATAAAACATAAAATTATTGAACAATCAAATTGAACGCAATTTAAATACCTTTGTACTCATTCAGTAAAATATATATTTATTTTCTCTTTTTACATATCTCGCAGTTTGATTGTTTTACTGTATCCAATTGATAAATTAAAAAAAAATTAAATACCAAGAATTATTTATTAAAATAAAATATTTAACATACAATATTATAAATACTCAATCATATAATCTATAAACAACAATCATGAATCTCTATAAATTAAAGAGCTTTAACTATTATTCAACTATTATTCCTGTTGTCATTCGATTGCTAATAACAATACATGAGTGACCACTACCGTAAACTTAATACAGCTCTCCCGATCCACACTCAAAAGTACGGTGATCTTAATACAGTTCTCCCGGCTTCTCACAAAACAGCAATGAATATACCTGTGGTATCCGTGTATCAAATTCTGTCACAGATTAAAATTCTGGTATGGGAGCACTGCAGTGTGACCACAAAAAATGCAATTCTAAATCACTAGTATACATATATGGCAACGTTACTTTTAAAAAGTAACGAGTAAAAGTACAAGTATTTTTAAAAAAAGTAACGAGTAAAAAGTAAAAAGTTCTTATTTTAAAAAGTAACGAGTAAAAAGTACAAGTAAAAGTACAAGTACTAAAC